GCCAACCGATAAGGAGATTTTTCTACTGGTGTTGCTACTAGAATTAAGTCGATTCGGAATTTAATTTGTTGAACCGGTGGTATTCCAGGTAGAACTTTAGGAAACACATATGGGTAATTACATAATTGAGGTATGTTATTGATTTCTTTCGTTTTACTTTTCTTATCTGTAATGTGAGCCAATAATTCACTACATTTCTTATGTAGATATTTCTGGGTCTTGGTGCAAGAAATGATTTTTAGGCTTTTCCCCGACTTATCGTCATCGATAATAAAGGCTTCGCTGTTAGATAAGGGTAATCGTATAACTTTTTGTAGCATAGGATTTCGGTGTGGTGTAAAGATAACCAATCCACGTCTATTACGACATTAAAACTACCAATAGACATTGACATGAAGTTGACATGAAAGAAGTAGTTATTTAGAATTACTAGACAATTTTCCAGAATTTCATGCGTTCTCTCGGTTTGACCGTTAGCGATTTCTACTTCATAGATTTCTTTTAATTTGCTAGACTCATGACTTAATAATTTTCTAAACATCGGGGTTAGAAAACTTCTACTAGCTCTAGATTCGAAGAGTATAGTACCGTATAAATTATTTATGAGAAACGTACCAGATACCACTGAAAGGTATAGGATAGCTTCCCTGCTTCAAATTACAAATGCCATGTTGTCGCCTAAACCTCCCTGACTCCTTAACTTTGTACATTCTTTCATGAAGTGTCCAATCTCACCACACTCATAACACGTTCTTCCTCCACCATAGCATGTTCAAATATTTGTTCCGTGATTTACTCTTGCAGGTGTTGTGCTCCTATAGTAACTGGCAGTGTATCCTTCCTTTTTTCACTTTATGCAAATGAAATAGTCACCTGCTTGCTGACGGTTACATTGACAGCACGATGAACAATTACCTAGGTGATGATAGTTGCAATAAGTGCACCGTAGAAATTTTCCAACATAATTCCTTGGTTGTATGGGTATTGCTATCATCATTTCATAATTAGTTGCCTCATCTTGTCTCTTCCAGGATAATTGACCGGGATTATTCCCATTAAATTTACGCATGTTTGTTCCATATTTGGGAGGTTTGGATTTTGAGACCATAAATTTCCCTTGGATCTCTGTGTTGGTTAGCCGATGAGCTATTCATTTTGTATTGTCGTATGTTGTAGGTTTTGATGTGATCACCATCCATTTGATTTGTGATACTAGACCCTAGATAAATCACTCGATCTTCTTGTATTCAGGGGTTACATGTGATGGACACATAACCATAAGGTCATTAAATCTAGCGGTATAAGCATTTATTTCTAAACCCTTCATTATCAGGTTCCATAGTTCTTGTTCCATCTTTTGTATTTCCTCCCTAGGACAATACTCCTCTACTAGCATCATCTACAACTCCTCCCATTTCATGGAATTTGCAGCATTAATTCCCATTGGATTTACATGATTGTTCCACCATGTTAACGTCGCATTAGCAAAAGTACATGTTGCATATCACACTTTACAATCATCTAGACAGAAACTTATTTGAAAGACGGATTCTGCCTTTTCAGTCCACTTGGTCAAATTTAGAATCCCTTCAGTTCCATGGAAGATCTTTGGTTTTTAATTCATAAAGTCTTTTTAGGTACACATTTTGGTGGTTCCTACATTGCCTTCCTTTCTAATTCCACCTGTTGTGACATTAGATAGAGCTGCATATATTCTCTGAGCTATAATTTCTTTAAGTTCTGCTGAACTTATTAGGGGGTTTATTTCTAGTGGTGGTTGTGATTATTGTTCTGTTTGTTGTGGTTCTAATCGTTGGTTAAGGTTTAGTAGACCAGTCTTTCTTCTAGGCATTTTTATTTAGTTCCTATTATCAATAGTATGAATATTATGAGTTTCGTGAAGTATTTTATTAGTCATTAAAATAATAACGGCTTCAATTATTCTTCAAGGTATAGAACATAGTAAATGACACTATTTGGCTCATGATTATATAATATACGCTTCGTATTTAGTGGTTACATTAGTTTATTATAGGTTTATATGAGAAAAGTTTCTGAAAACATTACAAGGTTAACTACACCCGTGTTATAATCTTTACCTCATTACCTTAACTGGTCTGATGTTTATCTCCTATTTTACACAACCATTAGCTCTACTATATCTACCAGTATCGTAGGTGATGGCCTACTGCGTCAGTGACGTGAATCATTTGTTCCTCAAGTGCTTGATTTCTTTGCTCAAGCTCTCCAGTGCGTTCTTCATTTCTTGAGGTTTGATTGTAGAGTTCTAGTTCTAAAATCCTTGCATCATGAATAATCATGTCGTTATAAGTAAAATTAATGTGATGATGGACATCCATCACTGCCTCTTGATCTCACGTTCTCTATCCTTCTAGCCTTTGCATCCTTCCTAAGAGATGAGTAGACTTCCCTTCTACAATTTCCATTTCGTTTTCAATTCTCACACTTTTCTCAAACAGTCGAGACAAAGTGTCAACTTCTGAAGAAGATTAGGGATATGGTCGGGATGATTGACCAATCTCATACTTGTTAGTAGCTCTTTCTTCTGCTACCCACCTACTAACCGTTTGTGCTATACTTACAGGTTCATCTTGAACTCTATTGGTATCTGGAGATGTCCCCTTTAGATTCTTCTTAATCCGTATCCATTTTGGTATGGACTTACGAGCCATGGGTATCTAAAGATGTCCCCTTTAGTATTTATTACGTAGTATCCGAACTATCGCACACGTCTTAATGGATATATGTCCTATACAAACCGAAAGGATAATAGTAAAACTTCTCTTGTTTGAGAAATAATCAGCTTATCAAGTTATTGAAAACACATGCATTTTGAAAATACATCAACATAAAGTTGGTGAGTTCACTGGTTTTGAATATGAATGAAAATAGTACTTTTTCAAAAGTTGTAAAAGTATATAACATAGTTTGAAAATATTATTTTGACCCATACATGATTTGAACATATAATATGTATATCCTAGGCATAATGCTTTACCTACTAAATAAGTAGTATACTTATAAGTCTCATACACTATGAATATAAGTCTTTGTAATCCCATACAAACAAAGGTTACTACGTATAAATCTTATTTAAATTCTATACGAGTAAAAACCGCTACGTAGAAATCTTATTTCAATTCTATACGAGTAAAAACCGGTATGTATAAATATTATTTCAATTCTATATGAGTATGTGTGCTAGGTATAATTGCCTACTTAATGTACAAGTAGTATAGCTACCAGTTCCTTGTATATAGAGTATAAGTGTTTGAGAAACTTATACTTAACATTCATACTTGTATAACGACAAAGTATAATGCTTCTAAAATTGGGCTACCATGAGTCCACAATTGCGGATATATGACATACAATACCTATGATTAATATTACAAGGATCACACCTTGTAGTAGGTTCCACATGATTCATCAACGACTGAATAGAATAAACTGGGCAAGTTCGTCGCAAGAAAAAATGTTGGGTTGTAGCTAACAATCACGAGTGGGGTTGTCAACCTGTATAGTTTCATACATGACTTTCGCGTTCACATGGGATTAGAGGTTGCAGGTAAGAGGATTTCCACTAAGATTTCCAATCTTAGTTGATGAATAAGGTAGCTCATGTAGATTTTATCGGGTTCTTATGGTTCTAATAGTGAAAGCATATTCGTGTCTAAAACCCTAAGTTACTATACTATTCTTTTAAACATTACTCTTAATTTCATAATATTTAGGTAGTACAACTACTATAACTTGAAGTAAAACTAGGTTTTATCTAACATAAAACCAATAATAGCAACATAAATAACAAATATCTATATATAGAACTCTTAAATATAACTTTAGGGCTATATTAGCAGCATACTAGGTTTTATCTAACATAAAACCAATAACATACTTAATAAATAATATATAGACTCTAGAGTATAACTCTGGGGCTATAACACAACATCGCATATAGAACTCCCAAGTATAACTCCGGATCTATATTAGTAAAATCTATGATAACAACATGCTAAAAAGTTTAAGATAGTTATATGATTTCAAAATATCAGATATATTCTATTTATATATGATAAAAAAAACAACTATATCCCGGTGAATGTAACTATTTATGTTTATACGAACATACTATCATATGAACAAAATATTAACTTTTATATAATATTTATCATGCATTTTCCCATGAAAACATTAAAAAGTGGGGTCGTGAAACTCACCCTAGTAGCGTGATTTTATAGAATCTAACTAGAAACGGTCAGTGGTTCGTGATCGTCGGGCTCAGAACAAGGAATGCCTTCAGCAAATGAGAGAAAGGAAAGAGATTTAAGTGTAAGGAAGGTTAGGGTTGAACTTTATATTTATAGGTTCCCTAAGACAATTTCATGGTGAAATTGTATGTCCAAGTCATGAAGCATAAATGCATCACCTCATAGACTTCCCATTAGGGTCCTAGCTTCGAAAGGTGTCTAGATACTGATTTCACGTCATGAACCATTATGTCCACGTCGTGAAGTCTTAACACATCACTGTCGTAGAGTTGCCATCCACATTCTAACCTTGAGAAGTGTCCTAGATCACTTTGATGTCGTGAACCTTCATGTTCACGTTGTGGAGCATGGCCGATTAGGGTTTCTGCCACATGTCATGCTCTTAGACTACTACATCTTTGGAAGATCATATCTTTTGCATATGAAATCTGTTTTTGATGTTCTTTATATCCAAGCGTAGGTATTTACGAGTACTACAACTTTCTTTTAGATTCCAATATCTAAATCTCATTTTATTTTAATTTCATCTTATTATAGAGATTTATAGTGTTAGAGTTTATTATAACTTCTGTACACGAAGTTAGATTAAGAATTGTTAAAATATTTTGGAATTGTATGGACGTATACTTTGATTTATACTATAAAGTATCTACGAAAGTTCACACTTGCATTAGAAATCACTATGAACCAGATAGTAAGTTTATCACATTACTTGTTTGGAATAATCACAATGATTGATTGTTGATGTATTTTGACTGGTGTTATAGTATACATGTTCCTCATAATGTCATCAACAACCGACTGGCAGTTCTTGGAAATCATTTGATTCTCAAAATCTTTCTTGATCTTATCGAGTAACGACGCAAATAGATAGTTGTTGCAACTTCAAAGTTTAACAATCAAAAATTTGAGCAACATTGCATTTTTCAGACTTAGCCATTTTTCTAATTGGCTAAACTAAACAAATGGTCCTTGTGGTTTGATAATAATTGTCACTTTGGTCCAAAGAGGTTTGAACTAGCATCACATGTCTAAAGTTTTTATTTTGTTGTATGTTTAGTCGTATTTACTTTATACTTTTTTGCTTTTTCAGTTTATTTATTTATTTAAATATTTGTACGATTAAAAAAAAAAAAAAATCTCTCTCTCTCTCTCTCTCTCTCTCTCTCAAAACAACAGAGAAGTTAAATTTTTTTTTCTCCATTTTTTACGCTCTTGGATTTGTAATTACTCTATGTTAACAATACAAAAGAAAAAGGAAGTAGCAAACATCATCAAATCATAAAAGTTTTGTACGTGAAAACCCTTCAAGAAATCTTTCAAACACAACATGGGTATTTTTCATTTGTTCTGAAAGACACACACTCCAAAATTATGTATCTGTTCTTCAATACACACAAATGAACTCCACAAATGAACCCAGATTTCGAATGAACCCCACAAAAGATTTTTGATTTTGAAAAAAAAAACTACTATAAATGATTACTCATGAACACACACTCCATGAGCACCGCTAAATGCATAATCCCAACTGTCGGTTGACGCGTATTTGGTATCCCAATCAATGGAAGAACAAACTTCACCTATTTCCCGTAAATCTTCGCTATCATCGGAAAACGTCGTCATCGTCGGAGATTCAGAACTCCACAACAACAACGTACATCGGTGAAGATTTGGATGTCCCACTTCGTCTCTCTCCTTCGATTCTGACGACATGATGAGGACATGGTTGCAGATTTGTAAGGAGGGAAGCAAATCTAGGTGGGTGTTGCAGATTCGTAAGGAGGGAGGAAGATCTAGGGTTTGTTGAGGAAGATCGTGGCGTCATTGTTCATGAAAATGAAACTCCGGACATCCTCACCCCTTAATATGGTTTTGCTGATAAAACATGAAGGTCACATAGATGGAGTCAAACAGTTTTTCTTTTTGGTTTCCTAATTTCTTGAGAAATATGGTTTTGTTGAACAAAAACACAATTTACGTGGTTCATTCCACCATGGTCGATTTCTTGATAATTTTGGCCAAAAAAATCCAGATTTGTTGAATATATTTTTTAAACAAAAGGGTTTTATGGGAGATACTACCGGAGGCAGAAGATATATATGGGGGAAAACGTGGGAGATGATGGGCTATAGATTTCATCGATGCAATTGAAGGTGATGGTGATGTTCCACTGATTTAGTGTGGTTTGGGGTTTTGAGAAGAAGAAGAAGAAGAAGAAGAAGAAGAAGAAGAAGAAGAAGAAGAAGAAGAAGAAGAAGAATTTTTTAATCATAAAAATATTTTAATAAGTCAATAAATAACTTTAAAAAAAAAAAAAAAAAAAATAAAAAAAGCCTAAAATCGTCTTTAGAAAAAAGTTTAAAGTAAATTTGACCAAACTCGCAACAAAATAAAAGTTTTGGACCTGTGATGCTAGTCCAAATTTTTTTGGACCAAAATGATAATTTTTAGCAAACTATAAGGACCATTTGTACAGTTTAATCTTTCTAGTTTATTGAAATCAGGAACAACTCATGATATATGTTTGACATTTTTAGAATTATTTTGTCTTATTTAATTTATTGACAGTCACTTAAATAAAATATTTTCCAACATGATGATTGATGAAGCATCCAAATAGGAGGTTTAGAGATTTCGACCTAACGCAAGTACACAAATACTTTCATCGTCTAGAATTAAATATTGTTTGTCCCTGTAAGAGCTTCACACCCTCCCACACTTGCCGTTTGAAATATTGAAATATTCTTTGAGGATTTCGGTAGTTTCCAGCTTCAAAATGTATCATTGGCACGCTAGGGTTCTTGAAAGAAGGTTTGCAATTGATTCAATTTTGTATTCAAAATTTATTTATTCTTTTGATTTTGACTATAAGATGGTTAAAGCTAAGAATAGGTGGCGCCGAGTTTTGGATTTATTTTATTTAAAAAAAAAAATGGTTTGTTTTAGTTGCTTATGCTAAAAAATAACATATGAAGATTATTAGGGTGAAAACATGTGACCCAAGTTTTTGATTGTTTCTGTATTCATTTTATTTATTTATTTATTTTTTTCTCATTTTAAACAGATTACATGAAACCGTATGGTGCTAATGAAGAACATGTGACGTTAATTCGAAGATACTAAAATAGAACAAATCAATGGAAGTTTTCAATATCCTCTTTCGATGAAGAAGCAGATTTTGAACGAAGGGAGAAATTGATGCAGTTGATGGATATTATAAATGTTTTTTTTATTTTTTTTATTTTATTATTATTTTTTTTTGTCGATATAAACTTATCAGCTTTGGTCCCATCTTATTGTTTTTTCCTTTGTGGAACTAAATTTTGGATAATCATTCTCACTGGATCATATTAACGGCCCATCACTCGATGCCTTGTTATATTCCAATTTTATTTCGTGTACCAAACGTAGGCTATTAGCACATAGACCGACTATGCTAATTAATTTAAAAATGACTTTGAGAAATGGTGAAATCTAGTATCTGGTAAGTTGATACCATGCATATTTAGCATTATATTTTTATTTTGTGAATTATAGTGTTTGAAAAAGGGAAAATGACTCTTGAGGGTAATTAACTTTTGCGTTTGTACTCATTTGGTCCCTTTTCTTTTTTTTGTATTCAATATACCATCGAACTTGTTATTGGTGTTTACCATAGCCCTTTTGACCGGCTTTTGACCTGTGCTAGCCGGTCAAAGGGTTATGGTGAACACAAACAACAAGTTCGATGGTATATTGAGTACAAAAAAAAAAAAGGAAAGGGACCAAATGAGAACAAATGCAAGAGTTGGTTACCCTCCTGATTCATTTTCCCTTTACTCATTTACAACAAATCCCATATCATCTCCTACTGATATTAATGACTTTATGATATTCATTCTTGCTTCTCTTCAAAACATAAATCACGAAAGGACATTATTCATGCATGTACAACTTTGTAATGCACTTGAATATTTATTAGGGGAATCTTGACTAAGTAGGCGCATTTCATGACTACATTTACATTTGCAATCAAATGATTTATCGTATCATGGATTCTAGATAAGTCTACAAACGAGTGGAATCACAAGTGCTGTGATTTTTGAGGTTACTTAGCTTTAAGATCGAACTCATGGGATAAGATACAACATCAATATGTACAATATCATGCTGCTTTTGTAGATACATCACCATAATACTGTACATATTGATGTTGTATCTTTTGTTGGGTTTTGAGCAATCTAACACTTCCTAAGTGTGCATGCAATCCTAATAAACCTTGGATCTATGTTTGTCTAAATACATGAAAAATAATAATTTTCCAAGGTTCATAACCTATCTAACATGGCATGGGGTACTTTTAAACATAAAAGAATTAGATGAGATTACGTACCTTTTTGATGAGTTTGATTCTTAAGGAGTTTGAGGGCCAAGCACCAATAGTGTGAATGCCTCAAATGGAATCACAAATCACCACAAACACTTGGAAAACTTTGAGAGAGTGTATACACACTATAATTTCAGCCACACACAAACACACACACTAGTGGCTATTTCATGCAACATAAGCATGCTTATATAGTGTGCATGGTTAGGGTGAAACCCTAATAACCCATGACCTTTCCTTTTCCAAGGATCCATGGGTTAAAAGCTCCATGGATCATCCATGGACTTCCATACAAGCCTAGCCCATTAACAAATGAGTGTTAGCCCACACCATATAAAACCAATAGCCCACAATCTAATTAGTCTTCTTTTTAATCTCTAAATTAATTCATAATTAATTTAAGACTAAGACTAATTAAATAACATGACTTCATATTAATATATTATAACTTATAATATATTAATAATCATATGTGTATAACTCTCATAAAATTATCCATAAATAGTTCGGGTGAAGTGCAACCCAAATGGACCATGCCGAGTCGGATCAAGTATATACCAAATAAGTTATGAACTTAGACACCTTATCCAACATCTTATCCCATGAGTTCGATCTTAAAGCTAAGTAAACTCAAAAATCATAGCACTTGTGGTTCCACTTGTTTGTAGACTTGTCTAGAATCCATGATACGATAAATCATTTAATTGAAAATGTAAATGTAGTCATGAAATGCGCCTGCTTAGTCAAGATTCCCCTAATAAATATTTAAGTGCATTACAAAGTTGTACATGTATGAATAATGTCCTTTCGTAGGTTATGTTTTGAAGAGAAGCAAAAATGAATCTCATAAAGTCATTAATGTCAGTAGGAGATGATGTGAGATTTGTTGTAAATGAGTAAAGGGAAAATGAATCAGGAGGGTAACCAACTGTTGCGTTTGTTCTCATTTGGTCCCTTTCCTTTTTTTGTACTCAATATACCATCGAACTTGTTGTTTGTGTTCACCATAACCCTTTGACCGGCTATCACAAGTCAAAAGCCGGTCAAAAGGGCTATGGTAAACACCAACAACAAGTTCAATGGTCATTTTCCCTTTGAAAAACTATTCGTAGAGTACCAATAGACATTAGCCACACATGGTTTTTTGTTAAATAAATTTATTTATAAAACTAGATGAATCTTCGTGAGTTGTGTAAGAATATATATTTATATAATTTTTTTAACGGCAACACACATTCACACAATTATTTTATATTTCTTTTCATTCTACAAATTGTGATTTAATACTTATAAATGAAATAAAAATGTAAATAAATGTATATAAAACATATATTGATTTTTATAGATAACGAATTAGAGATAGTATAAAAAATTAAATATTTGATGCTTTTATTGATCATTTTAAACCTTATAAATTGTATACAATTTGTATGTTAATTTATGCATTTAATGAATAACAAATATATGAAAAACATAAATGCTATAACTTTTAACAACATAAAAACACTACAATGTTTACTATAACATTTGTAACAAAAAAAAACCTTTTATTAAACACCAACAAATCATACAAAAAATATATAGAAGAAACACACACACACACATTTACACACACACACACACACACACACACACACACATATATATATATCAAGGTTGCAAAAAAACGTTTGGCGTTAGCTAGTCGGTGGACTAGGATCAAGGGATTAATCGGTTCGACGGAGATTAATCGGAGGATTAATCGGGTACCATTAATTGTTGAATTTTAAGAAATTAAATATGACTAATATCATATCAAAGTTTGTAAATACCACTAATATGAAAACAAAATAGGTTAATATGATTAATACAACACTAATCATGCCTCAAATAGTTTCCATTAAGATAAAACTTCTCCAAAATTTTCAAAATTCATCATTTTATAATGTTTCACTTATTATGTATGCAAGGATTAATCGCTAGGCGCCCTCTAATCGGCCGAGTAGCGCCTAGGCACTAATCGGAGATTAATCGGGACCTAGTCGGGATTTTTAAAACAGTGATATATATATATATATATATATATATATATATATATATATATATATATATATATATATATATATATATAGAGAGAGAGAGAGAGAGACACAGACACATACATACGTACACACTATTAAAATAATTATATCGCTATTATTAACTTTGAAGTAATTATATTTATTCGAAGTTGATATAAAAACTCATTATAAGCCTTGTGAGTCTCAATTTCTTTTGCAGTTAGGGATCACTTCAATCCTTGATTGTATTGTGAAGAACTGAATAACCTGTTTGATAAGTTGTACGTCACTACTTACGCGTAGATATA